TCGAAGGCAGAGATGCTGAATGTAATTCATCTCTGTCATGATTGCAGGTGTTTTTCCTCAGAGCGTGTTTTCCTGTTTTAAAATCTCTGTTAAGGCTTGAGCARTTATAAGGGAAGTACAGGTCTGGAAAATGCTAATGCATGGCATTGCAATTAAATATTGGAATTTGCATTCTAATCAGCAAAGTATTTTGACATTGTGATTTGCACTTATAAATGCAGAGAGGCTCGAGGGAAGCTGGGTGACTTTAAAGAGGGCTTTCAAGCATTTGTGTGGCTTGCATGAAGGAGAAATTTTTTCTCTTACTCAAGAGAAGAAAAAACAAGGATTTGGGTGCTTTCTTGGTAGGTTCTGATCTGTCGGAATTACCGCGGAGATGTGGACATGTCCGAGGTGGAACATTTTATGCCAATCCTTATGGAAAAGGAAGAAGAGGGGACCCTTTCTCCCATCCTAGCACACGGAGGAGTTCGTTTCATGTGGATTAAACATAACAATCTCTATCGTATCCTTTACACTACTGGTGTGCTGACAGGCCAAAGGCTGCTGCTATTTTATTTTTTTTAATGACAAAATGCAAGCTGGAGAATGGGTGAAGTGACATAAGGAGGCAATATTCAGTGAAATTGGTTGTATTAAATACATAAAGAGACTGTATTTAGTGAAATTGGTTGTGTTAAATAAGGGGGGTTTTATACTTTCCAGCAGCATAAGGTGCAGAAAAGTATTTTATTTATTCATTTTACTCTAATAAATTATTCCCTGCATGTTTATCTTCATATCTCCTTAAATCAGAGGTGCTATTAAGTAATTAATTTTTTTTCTAGCCAATTTCTTAAAAGCTTTTTAAACTGCACTTAGTAAACATCTTTTTAAATGCACATTCCTGAACCTCCTCCATCAGTTGTTGCAACTTCTAAGAAAAATGCTTGTGTATCACTGGTGTTTTCATTTTTATATAAAGTAGTTCAGGTGAGTACATTTCAGAAGCAACCTCTATGTTCTTTTCAGTCTAAATAGAAGTGCGTAGAGCTTCCACACTTTTTCAGAACTTTGATAATAGCACTTTTATATTTAATTATTTTGTAGAGCTATCTTCCTAACTAATAAGGGCACTGAAATTTTGTAGCTGAGTAGGCAGAGGATGGGGCACAGTGCTGTAATTGCACAAGACCTGGAGGAGGATTGTGAATCAGTGTCCTCATGCCTCACGTAGATCCCATGCTTGAAAAATATTTTCTCCAGAATAAATACTTTTCATCATAGTTTTCTTCCAGGATTCTCTCTCTGTGTTTTAATTGAGGTGGCGTTCCTGAGGCTGAGTGCTGTTAGTGAATTATGGGATTTGGTTTGGAGCTTTAGAAGATTATTTTAGATTCAACAATACCTTCTGCATGCGCTGTGCTTCCTCTGTTAATGTCCTTCTCCTGTCGTTTCCGTTTCAGGTTTTTTCTGAATATTTCAAGGAGCTGGAAGAAGAGAGCATTAGGGATAATTTTGTTATTATTTATGAGTTGTTAGATGAGCTTATGGATTTTGGTTACCCACAAACCACTGATAGTAAAATTTTACAAGAGTAAGTGTCATTCTGCATCACTTACCATGACAAAGCCCTTGGAAAGTTTTTAACATTCTTCCATATGCAAACAAATATTTTGGCATGCTCTGATTARCAAAAATATTAATTTTAATTTTTTTTYCCTGCCAATTCTATGGCTGTGAAGGTACATCACTCAGGAAGGTCACAAACTTGAAACTGGAGCCCCACGCCCGCCTGCCACTGTTACAAATGCTGTTTCATGGAGATCAGAAGGGATCAAATACAGGAAAAACGAGGTGTTCCTGGATGTCATAGAGTCTGTCAACCTTTTGGTGAGTACTTTGTACTTTAACTTCTAGTGAGAATTGTAGTGGGAGGTGTTAAAAAGGGCTTTTTGTCTGAAAACCTGCAATAAAAATTGTTCCTGGGGCTGGCATGCTGTGACACTCACAGCAATGTAAATCATTAAGGAAATCCAGGGAAAATCCAGGACAAATAATGCTTTAATTGTGTGTATTGCTGATTTTTGGATATGTCCTTTCCTGCTCTATCTGTGCTCCATCATACCCCTCATCTAATTCACTCTGCTGGATTAATTCCTCATGAGAAACACATCCAAGAAAACCCAGGGCATGCAGATGGGGTGGGAGTGTTGCTTTAACTTTTAGTGAAWATTGTAGTGGGAAGTGTTAAAAAGGGYTTTTTGTCTGAAAACCTGCAATAAAAAGTTTTTGGGTGGTAGGTATGCTGTTTCACTCAAAGCAGCATAAATCATTGAGTACCCCCAAGGAAATCCAGTACAARTRATTGTGTCGATTTTTCCAAGGAAATCCAGTACAAATAATGGATTAACCCCTCATTAGAAACACATCCAGGAAAACTCAGGGCATGCACAGAGGGTGAGGGTGCTGCTTGATGTCACAACAAACTCCACCAGAGCAGATTTAACTTTCCCCCTCCCTTCATTCAGGTCAGTGCCAATGGAAACGTGTTACGGAGTGAGATTGTGGGATCCATCAAAATGAGGGTTTTCCTCTCGGGAATGCCGGAGCTGCGCCTCGGCTTGAACGACAAAGTTCTCTTTGATAACACAGGCCGTGAGTGCTGCAGAGTGGTGATAATCCTGACAGATGCTGTCTGGAGTTTTGGGGTTTGGGGTGMTTGGGTRGCATGGTAATCGTGGAGTTAKTGAGGTTGGAAAAGCCCTCTAAAATCATTGAGTGTGACTGCTGACCAACACCACAGTGTTCACYKCTGACCCATGGCCCCAAGTGYCACSTGCACAGGCCTTTTGAACACTTCCAGGGGTGATGGGTGACAGCCTGTGCCAATGCTTGRCCATCCTTCCAGTGAAGAAGTTTTCCCAAAATCTAATTTTARCCTCCACTGGCACMACTTGAGGCTGTTTCCTSTTGTTCCCTGRGAGCAGAGCYTRATCCTCACTTKGCTCCACCCTCCTGTCAGGKAATTGTGGAGAGYCAAAAGGTCCCCCCTGAGCCTCCTTTTCTCCAGGCTGARCCCCGTCCCCATCTCTGTTTCCTTCTCTGGACACRTTCCAGCCCCTCCACATTTTCYCTSTTGTGAGGAGCCCAAAACTGAGCCCAGGWTTCAAGGTGCCTCACAGGGGGWCAGTCACTGCCCTGATCCTACAAAKTTGGCTAAAAGGGAGGAATGGCAGCAGGCAGCAGCTTTGCTGTGATGAGACTGGGCCTACAGTTTGTTTTTTTTCCTGCTAGGTGGGAAAAGCAAATCAGTAGAACTGGAAGATGTGAAGTTTCACCAGTGYGTTCGTCTGTCTCGCTTCGAAAACGACCGGACCATCTCCTTCATCCCACCCGATGGGGAGTTTGAGCTCATGTCCTATCGTCTCAACACCCACGTGAGTCTAGATGTTTTTAACTGAGAAAGGTTTAAATTGTAGCCAATTTCCCTTC